CCCAAGAAAAGAATGCCAGCATTTTGTGTGAGTCATGTTTTCATTTTTCACATGCTCTTATCAGTGTTAGGAAAAATTAAAAGAAAAAAAAATTGTCAGGAATTCATTGTTTTTTTAGCTGCAATAGACCTCAGACTAAATTTTAAGGAATATAGGAAAAAAGGACTTTTGCCATTTCTGTAAAGGGTTCCAAAAGTTAGGAGTTATTGTCATCCATCTCTGAAGTCTTTTGGATGTTGAGTGTACTAATTGTCTCCTGTTTCTCAAGATTGAGTTTAATGTCATATATATATATATATATATATATGTATATATATGTGTGTGTGTGTGTGTGTAAAACATATATTTAGGAGTTTGTGTCAGTTTTCAGTATGTTTGTGATATCATTAATGCCAATGTATACTAGTGAAGATTTAATAGATTTCAAAGTTGAAAAAATTGAATGAAATAATTCTGAAAAGGATATTAAGTAGATAGATGAAGGAAAAATCTTGTTCATAGCTTAATCATCACTTAATATATTCTTTCTGTTGTTAATACTTGGTTTCACTGGGGTGTTGCATTGGAAATCAGCTCAGTAGCCTTGGGAAATCAAAAGGGAGAATAGAAGAGAACATGAAATCAGAGTATAAAACAACACTGAAAAACATACAAATCCATAGTGCTCTGCATCTGAAAAACCCATTAGGGAAAAGATGCAGGTGTGCTGACTGCCTTCTGAGAGAGGATTCAGAGATACAACTAGCACACTGGGAAAGGGTTTCTCTTACATTTTCTGATGAGGCTTTTGAAGATACATTTTATGAACTTAACAGTAATGAAATAAATCTTTACTGGAGAGAAAAACCAGGGTAATTTTTGAGGAGCACCTGAGCAATTTTCTTCCTTCCCATTGGCCACTATGAAGATGCATACTATTGAGTTTTACTCAGTCTAAGTGCATTTTGATCCATTATTGTGCCTTCTATTTGGCTTTGTATTAAGAGAATAAATACGTTAGTCACATAATAATTGTTCAGTGCTGTAGGGTTTTTTAATGTTCTTTTTGTTTGTTTATTAATATAAGCAGTACTTAGTGCCTCAGCCTTCTGGCTTAACTGTTTCTGTTTTTAAAAAAAAAAAAATCTTTATTACTGTTGATAAGAATCATGCCTGAATAGTTGTTTTTTAAGCTTGTGTAAGTCATTCATTTTATCTTATTTTAAAGCTTTATTGCTTTTTATTATGCTTTAATTATAAGCATAGTTTCTTTGTATTTTCTTGCAGAACAGATCTTTCATTTGTGCTATACAAATTTCTTGGACAAACATTCAAACATTATTTTTATCTATAATAAAATATAGAAATATAAAAATTATAATAACTTAGATGTAAGGGTATATTTTCAATCCTTGTGATGTACAGATGATGAAATGGGGAGGACTGCATCCTCTCTAATCTTGCCATGCAAGGGAAGGGTGGTAATGTGGTGGTGTAGTGGTGTTTGGAATCCTTTCTGGTTCCTTAGTTATTGTAAGGTGGCTGTAAGTATTCATCAGCTGACTATTTTATTTGTGTACAAGGCATTTCACTATCTTCAATCAGAATGAGATGAAGCTATATCAAGTATTTATTTCAACTACAAAGATGTTCTGAGTTATTTTTTAATGGTGAAAATTGAATGGAGGCCATATATTTTCAAATTATTTAAAGATTTGTCTTTCATATAAGTACTTTTAAAACTAAATGCATTGTTCACATTAACACATTTAACATATAATGTGCTTTTTAAAAAATATTTCACTTGAGTTCCTATGGCAGTTGTAGTGATCGTAATGTGTTTAGGTATATCTTGCCTTTTCTGTGAGTAATGTGAGCACTTTTTCCCCTCACTTTTTGGCCACCTGAGGGTGGCTTCAGGGAGGAAACTTACATTCCATTTTAAAGATTCTAAAAATTGAGAGAGTGAAGGCCCAGATTAGATTGATAAGATTGCGATCCAAAGAGGAAACAACATTTGTAGAGAAAAGTATTTTTCTCTTTCTTGACTTCAGACTGTATCATCTGTTTTTATCATTTGCAATTTTATTCTTTTTATTTTTTTAAGAATTTACGTAGTTTGGCACTACTGATTCCAAGCCATTTTTCTATATTTGACTGTACTTCTTATATTACTCCAATTATAGAAAGTGAGTCAGTAATAAATATCTACTGGCCTTGCTTTTAGATAAGCACCTAGATAGACAATGATCAGAATAGTAAATTTGAAGAGCAATTAAAAATTATGCATGGCTAAAGTATTGATAATGGTGTGGCACATGTATTATTCCTATAGACACACTTAATGTCTCAAAAATTCAGAAAAGAATATTTTGCAGTTCTTACACTTCAAATACAGGAATAAATTGCAATAATGAAAATGTAAGTTGTTGCTGTATTTAAAAAAAAAAAAAAACTTGTTCCTTCTGTGATATAATCTTCAGTTTTCTTTCAACCTCATTTTTTTTTTTTTTTTAAGTCCTCTGATTTTTCTGATAAAAGTGAAACTGCTGCTGACTATTTCAGTCGCTCCAACCGCAGGGGAAGCGTTGTTTCTGATGCAGATGATGTCCAAGGTTTGAATAGTGTGAGTGTAATGCTTGTTATTATATTGTGCCAAATACAGCAGACTGACTAACCGTGAATTTTATTTTTGTTCTACAGAGGAGTAAATACTACAAAAGAACTCTGAGCTCTTTTGTCAAATAAGTCTGCTTGTTGAAGGATTGGGGCTTGTTTCAAACTAAATGCTGTGTTTTATATGAAAATGTCTCAAGTCCAGGAATTTTCTTAAAACTGTTTCATGTTGCATGCTGCTTTATTTTAAGGAGATTTTGCCTGTTGCTTGAAGCATGTAACATCTTAACACTTCACATTATTTTGATAGGTGATAAGCCTAAGCATCTCTTTAATGTAAAAAATCATTTTTTTTTCTTGTGGAAGTTTATTTTATGAAGTTAGCAATTCCTAGTTTTGCTTTGTGGAGTTTTGGAGTACTAATACTTGTTTTAATGACAAAAATAGACTTAAGTATGCTCTTGTTAGCACATTCTAGTGTTCATTAATCCATTGCAAGAGTTTCTAAGAATCCTTTATTGGAGCCATCTATGCCCTTGCACTGAGTCCTAGGTTAACAGAGCTTGTCACAGGAAGATTGGGATGACAGTTTTCCTATCTGTTCCCTTGATCTGAGCTTCAAAAGCTAGCTGCCTTTGTTTTTTATTGCTGTTGTTAACTCTAGCAAACTGTGTCACTTAAAGTTTTTATGTTTAATAGTGGAAAGAATAGGGAGTTTTCTGTTCATAATTTTCTGTTCTTGTCTTTGAATGATCAGGGCTAGCATATGCCCTAAGGGGAAAAGCTGGGAGAACTGGGCTTATCTAGTTGGGTGGATGGGAGGCTACCTGATTACTAGCAGCCTGCCACTGCTTAAGTAGGTAAAAGCCAAACACTTCTTAACTGTACATTTTGCACCCTCGTGCTGCTTCTCAAGGCTAGAGCCTGGGAGAAGCTCCATGAGATTAGTGTTACACTCAGGTTACAGCAAGGTTGGAGAATCTCCAACCTCAGGAGCTGGTGAAAGTTAACCACGCAGAGCCTATAAATAAAAGCTAACCTGGATTTCTGTTTGCAGCAACTCTGCTTTGGTTGGAAGGCTGGACTACGTGACTACTAGAGAGTACCCTTACAACTGCTGTTTCTGTCATTCCACGTTTTGGCAATATAATAGTCATATAGAGCTGGATAACTTGTATTGTAGTGTTCTATCTGTCTCCGTATGTGGTCAAAGTATCACAGAGAGCAGTCGTATCTGTTTTAAATCTTAGCTTTTTTTTTTAACTTACAGTAAAGCTTTTTTACTCAAGCTTGCTCTGCTGAGAGAAAGCGTGGAAGCTGAGACAAACAATTGTTATTTTCTCAGTTTTTATCGTTGTTGCTACGTAAGTTAATTTGAAGTATGTAAAACTACTTATTCTTAATGTACATGTAGACTGTAATAATACTTTGTCTTTCCAAATGATACTTCAGATCATTTGGACTTTTCATATCGTTTTTACCATCATGGGGGTGGCAAACATTACAAATTTGGATTTCAGTATTTCATTGGAGATGATAGAATCTGCCATGGAAATGCATTGTCAAACCTGTAGAAGCCATAGCAGACAGAAAAAGATCTCATACAGGAACATTTGTTTTTAGTGTGATGATAGCAAACTTCCAAATCTGTTGTCACTGGGCTGAGAGCAAAGTGGGCGGTTTTGAATAAATGAGCTTTTGAAGAGGTCATGCTATTAAAAAGTACTCATCAGTGTGTTACAGTTTTCATTTAATTTCACTTCTTTGTTTTGTGTAAATGTTGAAACTATGGAAGTCTACAGTGCAAGTTTGGATTCCCAAAGGTTCTGAAATAAAAAGTTGGGATGGAGGTGAAGTGGGGGAGATGTTCATTTGCTCAGACTCCAGTCCAAAAAAATATGAATTAAAATTATTTCATAATTCAGAGCTTTCACTTGAAGTGTTCTTGTCCTTATGTAACTTGTGGTTTTACTGAAGAGTTAAAGGTAGCAAATGTGTTTTCTAATAACTAGACCATTCACACTGGTGTCACTGATTGTCTGAAGTGCACTTGCATGAATCTGTTTGTTATGCCACCGACTGTTGTAGTCACTATTGTGCTCAAATTTGAAGTAATGGAACTTGTTTTGTTCAGTACTTTATTCTAAGCAATGACTCTTTGGAAAACTTTGTAAAAGGTTTCTGGCTTTTTCTTTACAAGCATTCATTTATTTTGCAGTTAAGGTAAAACTACATTTTGAGGCTGTATTTTTTTTTTCATGCGTTTTGAAATTTGTTAACTTCTGAAATTTCTTTTTCACTTTTTGTTCGTGAATATTTTTCAGTATCTTTGAACAGAATAGTGCTCTTTAGTAGTCCTTTGTAGCAAAAGGTATATTGTGACCAGTTTCCCTTCTCTTTTTCAGCTGGAAGAAAAGAGTGAAAAATCACATTCAGAAATTTTTTCAAGGGTAAGAATCTTTAAATTAAAATTTTTGATTGTTGGTATTCATCCAGCAGTTTAAAAACATGAAAATTTCTCCAAAAGTAGAAATATGTGCTTTCTTTGTGGAGTGTATTTTAGTAATGTTAAGAACTTGCAAAGAAATAATTTTAGACATATTTCTTCAACCAAAAATAGTGCATTGCATCTTATTTCCAAAAGAAATAATATTATTCTTTAATATCCTTTTAAGAAGTATCAGTTTCTTGTAGAATTCATTTTCTGGGTAAAACATTCACCAGGAAAGGTTGTATTTTAAGAGACTAAGACTTGAAAAACACAGATGTTGGATTCCATTAGCGAGTTCTGAATCATGTGTGACAGAAAAATTTTAGAAGTGTTTTTTGGTGCTAACAGCCTCCTTATGGATATCTTCTGAACAGAAAATTGGAAATAAACTTGAAATGTTACAATAAGTGATATGTTTTCTATTTCTTTCTGTTCTGCTACATACTATTCTTTAAGCTTCTCATCAATCAGATGACTGTAAACAGAAACCAACATTTCATCGAGAAGTAACATAAGTGCTGGAAAACATTTGGTGGAAAATAATCCTAAGAAAAAGTAAAGATGAGAGAAAAGTGCTTTACGGTTATGAAGTAATTTATAAAGAGTCAAGTATAGTCAAGTATACCACTATATCATACCTGATGCAATGTTTTCCCCTCTTTAAGCCATCGTCTCGCAATTCAATTCCTCTGAGTGGCAACTCATCTAGGAGAGGAAGTGGAGATACAAGCAGTTTGTTGGATCCTGATGCCTCCCTCAGTGAATTACGGGTAAACTGCATTGTCAGAGAATTTGGATCTAGCTTAAAATTGTATTTGTGGTTGGGAGGAATGCTTTTTGCTTCTGGTTTCATAATAGTAAGAAAATGCTCTGAGGGTTTAATTTTCAATCAGGGGAAAATTTTTATATATATATATATAATATTTTTGTGTTGATAATTGTATTGATCAGTATTTATGTTGCTGATAGTTTATTTTAGTAGAAGAATTTGTAATTATTTCAAATTTGACATAAACATCCTGTTTGAGATCTTTTTTAGTTCTCATAGCTTGGATTCAGTGATGCAAACAAAATCTGAATTTCCATCTGGTTGTTGTGAACTAAGTACAATTTGTGTAAATTACTGCAGGCTTTGGCATTTGACAAAAATGCATATAAACATTTTGATGATCTTTCAACTACAAATGTATTTCCCCATACTACTTAAGCAATGGTTCATTCCTATGTCCTGCAGGATATCTATGATCTTAAGGACCAGATACACGATGTAGAGGGGAGATACATGCAGGGACTTAAAGAACTAAAGGTATTAGGGCTTCTCCCATGCATGCGTTCTGTATGGATCTTTTGGGGTAATGGAGATATTACTGGTTCCACTAACTGTATAAAGCTTTACTAACAAATTCTTAAATTTCTTTAAAGCATGTACCTAACTTTTAATGCATAGAGAGCGTCAGATTGAGTTTGTCATTTGGATAAAATATTAAGATCTGCTATGTCATTGTACATTTCAAATCATTATTTGGTTTACATTAACATTATTCTAACTTCCACGTTCTAGTGAATGTTTTGTGATGGGTTTTAAGAGGTTTAACGTACTTTTTCAGTGCTTTGTTGCAAATAAATAGATATTCAAAGTAATTGCTATATGTCAGATGAGGAAGAAAGAAGTAAGATACGGTTATGATGAATAACTTAATTATTCTTCCAAATCCCAGGAAATTTTATAAAGTAAAACTGAAGTAATACTTTTGAAATATATACACGTAGGCAGGCATGTTGCTTGCAGGAGCAGATTATTTTGTTTGGATCATTTGTAGACTGCAATTACGAAAGATAATTATTTGATTGTATTGGCTTGCAGTTCCAGTTATATTCTTCTTAAACCATGGATTGATATTTTCAGTATTGGGTTAATGAGATTTATCTGCATTTTGGCTTGCTTAAATTAATATGCTTATCTTTGGTGAATTTTCCCACAATTAACGGTTTGCAGTTAATCTAAAGTATGCTTGGTCTCTCTTCTGAAGGGAAACTAAATATGACAAATCAGGCAACTTACAATATCTTTTCCAGGATTTGTTCTCTTTCCTGTTATCTAGTCATGAGTGGCAAAGAGCTCTTAACGTACTTGTTTTACATCCATACAGAGGAAGAATTCACTGGCTGCTTCTTGCTGCTAGAGCATATAATGTTGACATTTAACAGCTTTCTTTTATTTTCTTGATTAAACACTGTGATAGACATTCTAGTAAAGAAAAATATGTAATTAGAGCTGTTCAAGTTAGCAAATATATTCTTTAGAGGATAATAACCTCTTTTGATATGATGAGCATTCTAAGTCTCTATTTTAACTATTTGCTATATGACTATTAAAAAGATTTCAAAGAATGTCAGTTAGTGTAAAGCTGATTTTTTTAATAGTGTTGAACTTCTTCTGCATTTTCAAAGTTTTCCTCAACAGACTTGAAGAATTGCTAGATTGTTAGACTTAACTATGCTTGTACTAACTTTGAGATTGCATTATATTTTCAGAATAGGTCTTCCTCTTACACTTTGGCATGTTTACCAGCACGTCAAGGCAGCTGTTCTGTCATTACTGAGCACTATTATTTATTATCTGTTAGAGTTGCCAAAGAGCACAGGTGTACAGTAGGCAGTAAGATCTTTGACCTGTGATCGACTTCAAAGATAGTACAAAATGTATTCAATTTTTTAAAAATATTATTAATAATATAACATATATTCTTAAGTTAATTTAGAGAAATTCTTTCAGGAAGCCTTCTTTCTAGTTAGGAATGTAATGCCTTCTCAACTGCTGGTGTTTTCTTTCATTTAAGAAGAGCTATAATGGTACCTGCTTCTACTTCTCGTGTTTTTCCAGTGGCTGTGTAACAGTGATCTGTAGGCCCACTAACCCAAAATCTCTGTAGTTGCTTATCCCTCTTGCTACAAAAAGGTTTTCTTTTTCCACTTGGCTACAAATCTGGGTGTCAGCACAGTCAACAGTATTGAGTACTTCTGATTTAGTCAGTACTTCACATCTCTTAATGTTTGCCTCTGTTTTGCTAAGTCTTTCTGTGTTCTCTTGCAGCAATTAGAAAAGGAATCATTTTCCTTTCCTCAGCATTTTTTTCTAATGCATTTTATGGAGCTCTGTCTTGATGTCTGCTTTGTTTAGTCTTTTGGTTCTAGCTCCAGAGGCTTATTTGCACAGCCCTTTGGCTTTGCTGATAGAATTATTGGTGGTATTTCTTCTTAGTTACAGGTTATGTACAGAGTTTTATCTATTTTCATTCCAGCCCATTTCCACTGCTTCATCCTCAGGCATCCTACTGCCTCATCCAGGTCTTTCAGAAACTCTTCCAAATCCTTATTACTTCTTGCAAAACTGGGATATTACTGAAAATGCATGTAATTCTTGCACCATAGGGAACGTGATGCTTTACGAAAATAAATCATGAAATCAGTAATTGCACAAAATGGAGCTGTAGTAACTTAAGCTAGAGGAGAAAACAGCATGAAAATTGTATACATATGAATATTTTTCAGTGCTAAAAGAGAAAGAAGTATCCTGTCATGCAGTTGGTTTAATCTCAAAAGCTTCTCAGGTGTTTTGATCACTTTTTAGACAGAGTTAACAATCTAGTGTATAGGTAGATTTTGCTGCAAGTATCCATACGTAATCCATAACATCAGTTGCTATATTCTGAAGTCATCCTTGCAGAGCCTACCACCACAAAAGGGCAGGTGTAGCACCTAGGGACGACATGGTGGCGAGGTGATGTGTTAATGATTGGACCAAATACTCTCAGCAGTCCTTTCCAAGCTTAGTGATTCTGTTAATCTTCTCTTTTAAAAAAAAACAAAAGGAACTATTCCAGAGATGTCTTAGTAAGATACAACTTTTTTGATTGGTCGGGGTCTTATAAGCATAGCTTATTTCCTTTCTCGGAAACAATTGCCACTCTTCGTTCTCAATATCAATGTATTTCTCTTCCATAAATGCAGATTTTTCTAGATTTTTCTGCATTAACTTGCTGATTAATTGCAATTTAATTTGATCTTCTAAGCTCCAAGCAAGTCCCTCTCTTTTTTCTTTTTCTTTTTTTTTTTTTAAGGCAGTTAAGCATCTGTTTTGCAATCGTTGTTTGCTCTTTTCTTAGTTCTTGTTGATGGCTAGTTCTGGAGCACATGGCATAAAATAAGAGGACTGTGGACTTGTTGAGATGGGGCGTGGGATCATCTCATTGATGTTTTCAGCTGCCTGAAAGGAGATGTAGAGAAAACAGCAGATTTCATACAGAGGCAAACAGCGGTAGGGCAAGATGCAACAGACAAAAATTGTATTGTAACAAGAGAAATTCCAATTTGATTTCAAGAAAGCCTTTTCACAAGGAAGATGGTCAAACACTGGAACAAGTTACCCAGCCTAGTTGTGCACTCTACATCCCTGGAGATAACTCCAAAATAAACCAGAGAGAGCTCTAATCAGCATGATCTTGGCCCAGCTTTAATTGGGAGGTTTGACCAGATGGCATTCAGGGACCTCTGCCAATATACATTACTGTATGATTCCACTCAAGGCACTCACTGAATTGAACAATAATAGGCATTTTTCTCTGGTGTTTTTTTTTTTTTTGTTATTGCTTTTGTTAAATCTGTTAAATATAGAAGGACTATATCATTTGCCTTTTATGACTTGTATTATTTTCCTTTTCCCTCCAAATGGAATTCTTCTTTGAATGTCTTGGAAAGCTTTACTGTCTCTTGATGTTTTGCTTTACCAGTAACTACAGAATTTTTCATGATTGCATAATCACATTTTTAAATCTAAAACTTGAATTATCTTAAATGAATTTAAAAGTGGTCTTTATTTCTTCATTATCTGCTTATATCTCATCCTGAATCTTATTTGCTATTTGTTATTTTCTGTCTCCTGGATGATAACAATACCTTTCTCAATACTTCCTATGTTGTGTAATCTATTCTGATCTGTAGTCTATCTGGACATCTCTGGAATTATTTCTTATGGGGTTCTTGAAATACTAGATTTCTCAGCATGAAATTCCAGAATTCAGTGTATTGAATTGATAGGCATAAATTTATACAATCATGACAGAATAATAAAAGAGAAAATATGTGCTTTAAGGACAGCTTCCTAAAAATGAAGTTTTGTTGTAACACGGATAAATAATTACACATAGATGTTATGATATCTATGCATGATTTTGTATTTCTTAGAAAATTTTCTCTATTCTACTCCTTAAAAGTAGGAAGATAAAACAGTTTAAGCCGAAATGATCATAATTACTAGAAAGATTTGTCTACCTTTAAACTTTGAATCTAGATTATAAAGCCCTTCTTATATAATGAGAATAAAGTTAAAGCTACTCTGAGAGATTTTTCTGTAGACATTTGCAGTCATTTGTCTGAGTTCTTTCAGATTTGCTGCTGTGTTCTGACATGTTTTCCTTTGCATGCACTGAATATGAAGTAAATACTATGGTGATAATGCTTTGTTCCTATAAGTTATGAAGGTTGCGAAGCAGAAAATGTCACGTGGAATAATACTACTCTGTAATTTTGTTACTTGTGTTATGATAATTTTCTGTATTGCTGTCTATAACATAAGAATAATGGAAATTGAGCTTTATTTCCATAGAGTTGTCACAGAAATAATAGATCAGAAACAAGAATAGTTGCAGAGTTTGTCTGTGTAACAGTTTTTATTATTAAAGCTATTAATAAAAAAGAAATGTACCCCTTTCTACTACACATAGGATTCACTAGCTGAAGTTGAAGAGAAGTACAAGAAAGCTATGGTTTCCAATGCTCAACTAGACAATGAGAAAAACAACTTGGTGTACCAAGTGGATACTCTAAAGGATGTCATTGAGGAGAAAGAAGAGCAAATAGCGGAGTACCACAGGGAAAATGAAGAGAAGTCAAAGGTACTGATTTTTGAGGGCTTTTTTATCTTTCCCCTCCCCCCACTCTACAAAGATAGTTCATAGGAAGCTTCAACTTCTCAGTAAGAAGCAGTCAAAGACCTCTGGATTAACAGAAGAATCTATCCAAATATTAAGCAAAATATTCACTTGAACTGAATAGGATGAGTTTGGTCAAACTTTCTTGGAAACAGAAAATCTGTGGCAGTTTTTTTTCCATGCAATACATAGATAGACTAGGTATCATTGTTACTATGCATAAACCTTTATGGAGTCTTTTGTCTCCATTCCATATCTTATTAAATGAATTTTCTGTACAATAAATATCTGGGGAACTTACCTAAAATTTAATCTGTGGTTTTAAGTCTTTCTGTAGTTAGAATTTCTTAAGTTATTACAGGGGTTTCTCAGATATTGTCATGTTAAGATAGACTAGTAACTTGTTTAACTTAAACGTATTTAAAATGCATGTCCAACCACAAATAAATAAAAATCATGAATTCAATACAGGAATTGGAAAGACAGAAACACACATGCAGTGTTCTACAGCACAAGCTGGATGAACTTAAGGAGGGCCTTCGACAAAGAGATGAATTGATAGAGGTATGTTGATGTGTGGTAATTATGCATGATAGAACTTGTACAAATAAAATCAGTGTAAGATTTGAACAGTCATCACACACAAAATTAACTAAAATATTAACTCCCATTCTTATTAAAGAATTTATCTTGTTTTAGAGAATAGAATTTAAGTTAATCAGTCTGTTAGCTTCTAAAGTTAAGAATGTCCCTGAAAGATTTTCATGTGTGTTACATATTAGAAAATCCTTTGTTTGGTAACCGTGATTCTCACATGAATGTGCCTTGTACTTTTACTTTCTTCTGAGAACAGAGATAACGCTTGTATGACCAAAATCTCATGGGTAGTACGAATTATTTTTCTTTGCTTTTTCCCAAAATTTGCATTTCTGCTCTTTCTGATTTTAGTGACCATCAGCCACTGAAGTTTTCAGGACTGAATGCTTGCTTGCTTTCCAGTCAAGTATAAATACAGCAACATTTGTCAGTGTTACTGGGTCATAACCGTGTTGCTGTTTTTTTTTCTTTTGTAGTGTAATGCTATATTCAAAATACATTGATTAAAATATCTGAAAGTAGTCAGCAAGCATACTTCACTTCCTGGATGCTTGATTCAAACATTTTTCTTTATGCTTTCAAGAGTGTTTTCTATTTGTTAAACCCTAGTAAAACCACTTGTCAAGAGAAGTGTGTAAAAAGCACTAAAGCAAGTGATTTTTGGCAGTTTAGCATAATTAGTTCCTAGAATAGCTATAATTCCATAGATATCATCATACTGTCCTTGTCGTCTAAATTTTCAGTATCAACTGATAATGAATCTTCTGCAGTAGTTTATCTTTTCCTAGTGTCATGTCCTGTGCATCTACTATATTTCTAAATTTCTTTGCTGAGCAGTATTGGATATTGCAACTTGTCCATGTACTGTGATACTTCTTACTGTTTTTGACTAATGTTGCAATGCTTTGAAGGCAGATTACAGGAAGAATGTATTATATACGTAATACTCAGCAGTTACTTCTAGATTTTTTTGTTGTTGTTAATGGTCAGCATCTTGCAAGCACCAATTTAAATTTTAAATTTGTGGGATGAAAGCCCGCTTTATTTTTATTTAATGAAGTATTTATTTTGCCACCAGTGGTAGACAAATCTATTGAATACAAGTGCAGGCTAAAAATCTATTGAAGTTTCTTGCAGTATTACTATCTTACATAATCAAAGTTTGCTCTGTGGCAGTAACCTTCCAAATGTATTTATTTCATTATGTTTTCTCTCAGGTCTTACTCCATAAACAAGGTTGTTTCTAGATAACAGATTGTATATCTGGGGAGGGGTTGGGGGAAGCTAGCAGGTGGGGTAGAACATTCACTTCCTAACAGTACTTAAAGGTGTCTGGAAACTACCACATAATAATTGTTTGTCTGAAGAAGGCTGTCTCCAAACTGCAGTGGGAACTCTTCTTGAAGAACTAGCTAGCTGTACAAAATTCTGCCCTTGACATGAAATGGAATAAAATACGCTTCTTTTGCATGAATTCACATGAAAACTATAATGCTATGTTTAGTCACGCTATTTTTTCTTTAACCTCATGCTCATTTACTCTTTGGTTGGCTTTTACTGCTTTATTTCCTTTACCTTCAAATGTGAATTTTTGTTGTTTCTTTTTCCTCATTTCTTAATGGTCTTTCCTCTTTTATTCTTCCCTTATACTATTTACTACAGGAGAATCAACGCATGCAGCAGCATATAGATTCCATAACCAAAGAGGTGTTTGATCTCCAGGAGACAATTAATTGGAAAGATAAAAAAATAGGGGTAGGAAACAAATACGGGGGCAAAATTGTTCTTTTAATTTAAGTAGACTAATTCCCCTCCTCCTCCCAAGGAATGCTGTGTACTCCAAAGAAATGAAGGCCACTCCCAATTTAAATATTTAAAATGCTTTGCAGTCATCTTGTTTGAGAGAGAGAATTAGCTCCACTTTCTTTACTTGCATAATGGTGAATAATATTAATATATAAAAAATATGGAATTGACTATTATGCACAATTTTTTTTTCAGAACATTTTTAACCTGTAGTCAAAACTTGTAAAAGTAACTGTTTCCTTATCCTTGACAGATATAAAAATTGTTCCTTTACACTGATCCACAGATACATGGCACTGATAGAGTTTTACACAGAATTGAAAGAAGTTTTAACGCTTTTAGTGTTTATGAAGGTAAATTCAATTTTTCAAAACCTGAACGGGGGTCAAACTTTGCAAGTGATTTGGCTGCTACCTTTATTGCTGTCTTAGCAGTTTGCCTAAGAATCAGTGGATTTTTAATTGGTTTGCTTTCCACTATTTGGAATAGTGGGAAAACCCAGGGAGCTGCAGGGTTCAAATGCAGAGAAGTCTCAGTGAATACTTGTTAAGTTTGTAGTTAGCATACCTACTGCTAAAATATGCATGCAGACTTGAGTTGAATTCTTCAGCCACACGTGCACATTTCTGTATTGTGCTCTTGATTCTTCTAGGTCTTTACTTTGGATACAGTACTGAACCAGGCTGACTGGTACCAACTCTTGGAACTGAGAACTGAAATTGAAGCATTGCCTGTATTTCTGGGGTTCCTGTGTAGCAGGAAAGGTGGTACAAGAACAGAGTCATGTATTTGTTACAGAGCTGATACAGTTCAGGCAGGGCTTGTCAGCTTTGCTTCTGGGCAGTCACAATGGAAAAGCTGCTTCAGAGCCAGGCTGACCCTAAAAAATAATTACATGGCCTGAACTTGTGGCTGTTCGGCTCTACAAGTAAATTGCCTAGCAGTAAGAGGGAGTTAACTGTGGGTAGTTTTCAGAAGGGAAGTGTCTTTTAGTAACTTCAGGGTTGTTTCTATCAAACTAATTTTACACCAGGATTTTGACTTATTCACATTTCTTTGAATATTAATGTATTTGCTGAAGCTCAAGTCAGTGTGAAAAATGAAATGTTATCTTTAGCTTGCAGCACCCAGATATATTAAAAAAAAAAAAAAAAAAAAAAACCCTCTTCCTTCATGTCATTTTTATCGTTTCATTCCTTCGAACCATACTGCAACATTCTCCTCCATCAGAAAAATAGTATTTCAACTTCCATAGTCGTTTTTTTTTTTCCTGGAGATCCTCCAGAAATCTTATTTTAATTCTGTATTAACTGGTCATATTTCTTCCATATTTACTCTTCATCACTTCTGTGTACCAGACTGTGTCAATTTGTTTTTTTCCTTCAAATACCTCACCACAGTTAATGCAGAAGCTATTATAAATCTAATGTTCAAAGAACTAAAATTACCTTGACAATTATTTTTTCCTTTAGTTACTGCAGATAGTCACAAAGTCAAAAGCTAAAAAAATTTTCCTCGCAGTTTGTTCTCATCTCAAACTTAATCTCCTACTTCTTGAAATGTAATAGTGCCACTGACTTTTTCTCATGTTACCTAAAATGTTCAGGTATTTTTCTTAGCTCTCAGTTTTTTTCTTTCTCCTCAGTACTGAGTCATCTTGCTAATTTTACTCTATTCCAGCTTCTGAATTTCTGAAACTTTGCAAAGAAAGTAGTTTCACTTAGGATTATAACCTATAAAATGTTTGCAAGACTGGCACCTCAGAGGCAGGAAGAAAGGCAAGCGGAACAAAGATAGCATGACTTGTTTTACCCATGTCTCCTTATATAATCCTGTTTCTACAAAGCAATCAAAATTTGTAGTTGTGCCTTGTTATAATATGGTCAATTTGAGAATATTGAACAAAACTTTTAGATTAGGTTATTACTGAAAGGTACAGCTGTTTTAATCTAGTATGTGTGTGACCAATTTGAAATCAGCAGTGGTGTGTCTGAGTTTGGGATAGATTTCATGAAAGTTTTTGCAATATTTAATAAGTAGCACCCTAAACAAATATGCTCTTTAATCACGTTGGTATGTTAAAACATGCTTGTAGTGTTCAATTGTTCTGAATTTGTTGTTGTTATTACTAATTTAATTTTCCCAAGAGAAGAATTGCAATAGTACAAGATCTAGTGTAAAATCCATGTCGTATCATAACCCTCAAGCATACAAAAACCAGCAGTTTTACTAAGATTTTTCAGTTTTGAGAAGTTATCATCATTATCATCAATCTCTCCATAGATAGAGGTACATGGTTATAACAATTTCCTGCTTCCCAGCACTTTTATGTTTTGGAAGAAGATAAAAAGGGTGTTCTAATAAGGCCAGCAGCATCACAGGGCACTGCCAAGGACACAGGTTCCGCATCTACAGTGTGACTTTAGGCCTCTGTGATCACCCTTCCATATGAGTGAACATAGAACACTCACCCCCATGCCACCCCTGTATGCTTCAAAAATGGCAGTCATCTTTAAGTGGAACACAAAACACTGTACTGATTAAGGATCTTCACACTGATGTTGTTACAAAGATATGGTATGGGTCTGGAAATGAAAGGACATCTTATAAATTCTACATTTTAATTGTTTCGTACTGATTATTAAAGTTCAGCATACTGCAATCACGTGGAGCAATTACAAGCAATACAGTGGTATTCACCTTCATTTCTTTCTTGTTATCATTCCTTCCTAAAAGCATGATGCAAAGTGTAGCTAAATAACTTTCTTAGGAAAACTTGTGCATGTTTTTGCAGTTGCTCTGTAGTCAGGATTATTTGTAATGCATGTGATATTGAGCTTGAATGGAATACTGGGATCCTGCCCAGTCAAGGGAAAATGTCTGATTAACTGCCAAGTAACAGAGCTGCTGTTTAGTTAGGTAGGCAAACCCATCTATGTCCATATGTTCTGCTTTTAGCTGTGATCCTTTCTCGTGCTGGAACAGTACTGCTAGTGCTTGTTTCTGTTTTTCTGTGAAAGTGATTACTTTGCTTATAGTAAAAAGTGCTCAGTACAAATAGCCTAGACTTCTAAGTGAATGACAGATTTAATATGTGCAGTGGTTCAATGAGGTAAGATTTCTACTAGAAGTTAGAGAAATTATCTCAATGAGTGTTATGCTTTAAGATCTTTTGACAATTGAGTTCCAGCAAATTTTATATCTGGCTATGTTAAGAAGAATGACTTGCTCTTCTGGTGCTTTGTTTAGATTATCAAAATCTATCAAAACCAGAATATTTAAAAAAATTCTATAATAGAAGTTAACTAAGACCCCTCTGGGACAAAATTTGTCATGAGAAATACGGCAATGAGGCTACATGTTTGACTTGCAAAATGTAGTTGTTAGATGTTAGATATAGATACATTTTACATACATAAAATACCCCTTTTAATTTCTTTTATTAAGCTTTTTGTATTTATTTTTAGAAAATCTTTCTGCTATCTGTCATCTCTTTCTCTATGCCATTCTTTTTCTTGCTATCTGCCTGAACCCAGGCCCTAGAAAGACAGAAAGATTACTTTGACTGCATTAAGAATGAGCGAGATGAGCTCAGAGAGGAGTTGGCTGACCTGAAGGAAACAATGAAGAGAGGAGAGGTATGTTGGTAGTAGCTGCTTTACAGTATCAGAAATCCAGCAGTGGGGCATGAAATCAAGGTCAATGAAAAGGAGGAAGAATGGTTCCTATTCTTGTACAGTCTCAATACATGACCTTGGTAGGTCGGATGGAGCATTTCATTGTAACTGTTTCAATCCCTTCAAGAAGGCTTTTCAAAAAATTCTCTGTACCGTTGCATTTTAGCAGTGGTCTCCTATGAGTACCAATTTCTTTTTCATACTTTCAGAAACATGGACTAGTGATAATCCCAGATGGCACACCAAATGGTGATATAAACCATGAATCAGCAGTTGGTGCAATAACAGTTGTATCACAGGAAGCTGCTCAGGTCTTGGAATCTGCAGGAGAAGGACCGCTAGGTAAAAATAGCCAAAAATAAGTAGAGTTTATGATGTCTGCTTGCTTTCTGTTCATAATCCATGAGTTTTAAAAACAATCAAATGGAGATAAAGATAACATATGCTTTTTTTCTTTTTCCTAGACCTTTATTTTAGTTTTTAGTTAATCTGTGTGTAGTCAATACCCTGTGAAACTGTTAGTTAACATGCAGATAAATTTCTCTGTACACTTGCATTATATTTGCACATGATGTATAATAATTAGCATTGTTTAGATGAGGACTGGGCTTGATACATATTTGTATTGTGAAATACACACCTTTATGCTTATATTTTCCTTGTAAACTACTATAATCATTACATTTCATTATCTGACAGGGTATTTTGTAACTATTACTGATCTCCTAACTGATTTGAGATTTTGAAATACTCCTCTGGGACCTTTTCCAAATACTTTTCTGTATTTGAGAACAGAAACTATATAACTTCCTATAAATGCATGCTTTCCACAAGCCTAGTGCTGTACCTGAAGAGGTAGCAATCTTTAAGAATAAGGCAAGAAGAGTATGCAACTAGGAAAAGAACATGTTGGCTGCCTCTATATATTGAAACAAAACTATAAAACTATGTTTTATTATTTAAAACTGGTCTTCACTTGACTACTTGGTTGTTATTTTACTTTGAAGAATTACTAAAATCAGAGCTCTTTGTTCCAGAGCTGTTATACTAATATACTAAACAGTTAAGTATTTTTTCATTTTACTGCTATTAACTGAAAAGCATTATGTTATTGCTAGGGAGATATCATGGTTTTGTTCTCCCAGTGCTATTAGCTTTGTTTGAAGAATGTTTTATTTAGAAAACAAAAATTACAAGAAATAGTTCCTTACTTAAAGATTCATGTTTTTCTAACAGAACTCTCTTGTTTTAGATGTTCGGCTACGCAAATTAGCTGGAGAAAAGGAAGAATTACTGTCCCAGGTAAAACAACCTGTTATTTTCAGAAACATACCTTTTGTGTATCCTTTACAGTAAACAGCAGTAAACAAATGCAGGCACCTTTCGATTAGTCACCAATACCTGAGTGCTCAAACGAAATAAGACTGAATGTTTGACTTGTAAACTGTCTGAGTGCCAGGAATTATCAGCTCCTCTCACTCTGTTTCTGGCACTACAGAAAGGAAAAAAAAAAAAAAAAAAAAAGGTTGTTCAGTACACATAGATTTCCTTTTGGTATTATCCAGGAATACTGAATTCAGTAAAATATAGCTCTTGGAAGCTCTAGCATCTTTCTGCCAAACTGCTGAGTGGTAATAGTGTACTATTTCTTTAATCACTTCAGTTACTTAAACAGAAAGTTACTAGTACCAAGGTAGCTGTGTTTTAATGTAGTTTCAATATTGAGGAGAAAGCTCAAGAAAACATATGTCCAGTGAGTATTCATTAAGAATACTAGTTTCTCTGTAGTTGAATATATCATCAATATAAAAAATATAAAATGATGTTGCCAACATCTATTTTTGCTAAGAATGTACCTACATCTTATATGCATAAAAATATGTATAACTACAGCCATATAAGTGTAAAAATCAATTAAAGGATTTGGTTTATGTCAGGAATGCGGATTTTGCAACTCCCATTGCAAAGGTGGCATGCTGAGTGTCCTCACCTAGCAACAGTGGGGAAATGGTTTCATAGGCAGATGTCTGGGAATGGACGTCCTTCCTACCTCTCCTGCATGGCTCAGCTATTCCCACTTGCAGAATTGTCTCAGCAAGTGGCATCTTAGTACTACTTGGCCTCACTGAATGTTTAGATGTACTACTACTGAATTTCTGTGTTTTTCACAAAGTGAAACTTTGTGTTTCAGGTTAGAAAACTGAAGATGCAATTGGAAGAAGAGAGGCAGAAATACTCTAAAAGTGATGGCATGAATCCAGATATAGTAGGCTTAGAGAATGGTTCTGATTTGCAACTAATTGAAATGCAGAGTAAGTATATGGTTACTGTTCAAAGGTATTCTTACTGGGGAGATGAAGCTGACTACCTTTTCCTGCATTATTATACAGTGGTAGTATTGTGAACAGATGTTACTAAGTATTTTTTTCCTTGCTATGAATCCTTGCAGGAAATTTCTCACTGTATAATAACTTAAATATGTATTTACATGTGGTTAGTTGGTTCTCAGTTAACAGTTTTGCCTAGAATGGGCGCTGATACTTGAACAAATGTGTTTTTTAGCTTTTAGAATTTCAGCTGAATTGCTTTTATTAAGATGTTTTGATTATTTTATTTGACACAGAAACTTATCTAAAAGATTTAACCATTCCCTAAAGCAAAATATGAGAAATTACTAAAATATAGCTCAAAATTCAGCAGTGCTTCTTAGCAGCATTACACTTGGAACTTTCCGTTCCAAGCAAGTTATTTCTTCAGCTGAATATTTTACTTGTTTAACAGATTGTCATATACCTCAGTATACATAAAATGGGCTTTTTAGTGAATCTGATTTAAAAGCAGTACTGATACTACAGAGAACGACTCTGAGAAATGTATTCATGTCAATTTTTGTCTAGGAGATGCCAACAGACAAATTAGTGAATACAAGTTTAGACTTTCAAAAGCTGAACAAGACATAACCACCTTGGAACAAAATGTAAGTGCATCTTTCTTCAAATTTATTTATATCATTACGCTTTTTCTGCAAACTTTTACAATACTTTTTCTCAAGAAAACTTATGAAAACCTATAATTTGATTTACTACTTTTTCTTTAGATTGCACAGAACAGTGTTACATTTGTACTTTCTTCCTATTTGCTGCAAGTAAATAGCTGTGCATAGTCTAAACATAAAAGAAAATAGAGTTAATTTGCACATTAATGTACAGCAGAATGTAAAGAGGGACTGAAGCTAGCCTTTTTAAGAAAATTCATTTATGTTAGCTTAATTGTATGAAGGTTGTATTTGACTGTGGAACACACTCTTAGAAATTCAGGAATTTTAGGGTATTAGCAAAGGGTGAGTAACATGGTGGTAAAATGCAGCATCTCTGCAGATCACTTGAAAATCATTTAAAGGATTATAGTGTGAATCAAATTTTCACGATTGCACTCTCGTATAGCAGTGGATGATTACCCCGTCCTATGGATTTGTGGGTAGCAAGGAGCTGAAAAGAAAACAGTCTAGCAAGTGAACTTCAAAATGTGACAAAATCCTGGTTTGGACCCATACAAGTCCATACTTTCCTGTTGAAATCTGTACTTTGGCTTAAGATGTCTTGCATCATGTTATGACTCTTTCTTCATTTTACTTTCATGTGGTCTCTGCTTTTTAGCTTTCCAGGGTTTGTATTAATCCCTGTATATTCCCCAATTCTTTGTTTTACAGATTCCTCTCTCTGCTTAGTTCAGTGTCTTTTCATATCATCTGAAGTATTTCCATACTATGTTCCATTCTCTACTGCTTTCTGCATCCTTTGCCAGAAGACCAGCAGAGAAGGTTATTGGAAGTTCTGCACACCATTTAGCTTTTAGCTTTTTTTTTTTTTTCAGTGATAATAATGGATTTTTTTATTTTTGTTTTAAACACTTTGAAATAATGGCTGTTGCTAAATACATTTAAACCTCTCTTTCTATACAGAGATAGAGATAATTCGCAGGATGCCTTGTTAGTGTTGTTTTGGAAATGGAAGAACTGGTGGTGGTAGGTGAGCTCAGAATGGAACACATTGGGTAATCGTTCCTCTGGTCTTGTGTTTGGGTTTGCAGGTTGGACGGCTGGAGGGACAGGTTGCAAGATATAAAAATGCAGCAGAAAATGCAGAAAAAGTGGAAGATGAACTCAAAGCTGAAAAGAGGAAGCTTCAGCGAGAGGTAATTAACTTGATTCACTTGTCTTGAACTTCATTGTCTTTTATGTCCAAGCTCTCTCTTTTCAGTCATCTTCTGTTACAGCTTTCAAGTGTTATCAGAAGGCCTCTGACTCTCAGTGCTGCATTCAGAGGACGACTGTAGCACATGAAAGTAGTACTAAATACCATTCAATGCAGTATTATCCTTGAAAGAGAGAATCTGAAGTTATATTTTCTTCTAAATGTGTAACTTGTACTAATCCCTCCATAAATAATACTGAAGAGCCAAGCTTCCCATAATTGAGTACCATCCTAGGAAATTTCCATCACACGCTTCACAAAGAACTGGAAAGAACATGTTTGCCTTGGAGCTACTGCATGACTTGTGTTGCCTGCTACCCATGTCCCCATCAGCTAATGACAGTGGTTGAAAGGACCTTATCTTTCAATAGCATGTAATGGGGAGCTGTTTGGTGATGACAGTGTTTCATATTCAAATCGCTTACCCATTATTATGTTAATATTTGAATTCCCGTTCATCTGGCTGCAGTGATGACATGGCTACTCTTCACGTATCAGTCTTAACTCACGCAGTACTTTTGTAAAGAATTTAATAGCTGTATTTCTGATTTTTATTATCACTGTCAAGGCTTAAAAACAGCAAAAAGTCCAATTAAATTTGGTGGTGATAACTTTTGCTTTCATTTTATAGTTAAGAACAGCACTGGATAAGATAGAAGAGATGGAGATGACCAATAGCCACTTAATGAAAAGGCTGGAGAAGATGAAGGCAAATAGGACTGCGCTTCTATCTCAACAGTGAAGTGGAAATTGAAAATACAATGCACTGCTCCTTGAATAACTAGCCCCTAGCTCATTTTTAAATACAGACTTTCATTGGCACACACTATGTGAACACAGAGTTGTTCAGTGGTGTTTTAGTTTCATAGTTAAATGACATACTACTTTTTGTAACTTATGAGAAAATGAAATGTAGTTTGAATTCCCTTGTGAGTAACAGCAATTTTTCTGTAGCGTTTGATTCTAGAGTCAGAGCTGGAGCACAATGCTGTATGTTCAACCTGGTGATAGAGAACATTTTCACAACTGTGGAATCAAGTTTACTCACGATCTCTTCTGGCTGCTTTAATGATGCTTGATGCTCAGAGACAACTGCATGAATTCAAGAAGACACTGTATTATAAACTTAACATACGTTTGCTCAAGACATCACACAGCACAAGTGCCTTTTATCTGGTGCAATTTAGACTTCATTGTTGAAATAACCCTTGAAATCAGATAACATTTTATTTTAAGATACATTTGGGGTGTTCACTGAACTTTATACATTTTGAAAATGCATTTTTGTAAAATATTTAAATTTATAAGAAAATAAATAGGGACTGTATATAAAAATCTGCTTTTTTTTTTTTTTTGCATGGGCACATCTGAGTGCTAGATAATTTTGTCAAATACTAGCCCTTGATGCTCTTAGTTTAAGAGTACAGATTTTCAGACTTTCGTTGTGTACCATCAATTTGTCATCTGCTGCTGAAGTGTGAACTGAAATTTTAGGGTGGGAGGAAGGGTTGGGAAATGTGGCTAAGGAGTTAATTAAATGGACACTTTACTGACCAAAAGCAGATGCTTTGTGTTTTCTTTGAAATGCTGAGGTTACAACAGAATAAAGAAAGTCTTCACAGAACAGTGAATTTTGATCTTCATAAAAAAGTTTTATTATTTTTTAATCTAAAAGTTTTGAAGTAGTGAGTTTGTTTCCTTTTTTTTTTTCTCCTAGGCAGGTCTGCTACTTCATGATAATACTGTCACCCAAGTCAGTACAAGTTTTTTTTGGAACTGTTTTGTCTGTAGCTTATTCTCTGTGGACAGGGAAAGCTATTAAGGACTTCACTCTTTTCAAGCTGACATAACGGGTGTGTTAATAAATACCACCAGCAGTGGGAGCTCTTAACTGCCTGACACAGTGTCAGCCTCTGTTTGAGACTAGCAAGGCCAAACATTTGACTTGAGAGGAGTCGTTCTTTTGGACTCATATCAGATACTTTCCTGTTGCAAATGGTTGCCTGTCAGTATTTCTCAAACCAAAATATATTTCAGGATGTTTACAATCCAGAGCATTTGTGCTTCTGTCTTTATGGGAGCTTATTTTCAAAGGAACTGCCATCTTTACACGGGAAAAGTGAGTGTACTTTGTTTTTCCTTGGATGTTTTTATATCTCTTGGACATTAAAAATGCTTTCTGTGTTGAGAAGCATCCCTTAGGTAGCAGATCTTCCTAGACCTTCTCGTTTATAGGAGCCTATTGTAGTTTAGTGATCATATAAATCATGCTCTTTGCTGTTAACTCTGCTTTCATATTGTGTACTTTCTATTAGTCGTCGTCTTATAGTATGTATTCTGGAGATTGAGATACTTCAGGGGTTCTGAGTGTGTTCACATGTATAAATCTCACAATTTCAGGGGTTGGAAGGGACCTACTGTGTGCTGGTGAGGCCTCACCTGGAGTACTGCATCCAGATGTGGAGTTCTCAGTACAGGAGAGACATGGACCTGTTGGAGCACAGCCAGAGGGTGGCCATTAAAATGATCTAAAGGAAGGAACACCTTTTGTATGAGTACAGGCTGAGAGAATGGGGCTTTGGGGATACCTGAGAGCAGCCTTTCTGTATCTAAAGGCATTTATTCTCCCTCAGATGGCAGGGTAGGTACCAGGGCCCTGCCCCGTGCTGTCAGCATCCGAGCCAACAACAGAGTTCTAAGTCTAGCTTTACAGAAATGAAAGTGCAAAGTGAGAGAAGCCTATGATGCCTATTGCTGTTTAAGGAGGAAGAGTCAATTTCTAAAGCTCCAGATTCTTTATTTACAAACAGTACTTCAATCAGAGCAAGTACAAGCATGTGCTGAGTTATTTTGAACACTGTCATTGTCTTGAAATAATGGTGAAAATTGGGATTTGTTTCAGACACAAGGGATTAGTATGATTTGTAACAACGTCCAGCTATTACTTGGGGTGTTCCCCACTTTGCCTATGGGAGCAACACTTTCTGGGCTCAGTGGAACCATTCCAAGGACTTTGTAGATGTAGTTTTGGTGCAAATGGTTCGGGAACTGACTGCCCTTGTGCAGATTGCATGTTTGGTATTAGGTAGATCTAGGGAAGTGTGAATCCAAAGTAATTCAGGCTTAGCACTGTTAAAGCTCTTCTGTACCAGAATAATGCATTGCTTTGACAAGCATGGAAGTGATCAGCTGTTGAAGCATTTGCTAAACCACTGTGACTTTGTTATGGAGTATCTTCAGAACTTTCCATTTTTAAAGGAGGAGAACAGTGCATATTGTCTAAGCTTGAAAGTGGCACATTCAGTACACTTACTTAAAATAGGCAACGCTTGTGAGCTCTGAATCCAAGCAGGTACATCTTGCCAGTTGCAAGGCGATTATAGCATCCCAACTGGCTTTGGAGCCATTCTGTCTGTACTTTAGTAATACATCCTGATACCAGTCACAGTTGTTACACACTGATCTCTGAGCTGTTTCTAACAGGGGCATCTTGAATTTTGTCATTGTAACTGTCTCCAGCTAGCCTCTGGTGTGTTCTTATTGAATAGACCTTTGATTTAACACCTCACAGTTCTCCCACAAAGCCATGCTGTCACAAGGCTGCTTGTTTTTTTCCAGTCTGATGCCTCCTACAACTTACCTGTGTAGCATCTGAAAGCACCAGACACCAAGAATGAAATGTAAGTTTTAATCTTCATGGGAGCAGTTCATGAATTTTAATTATAAAATGTCGAGTGATGGGTTTTGTGGACCGTGCTACTCTCTGTAGAGTTAAGGTTACCTCTGGGATGCAGTGGAAACAAAACTATGTATGTATGTGTATTCAATTTCACGCTGCATGATCCTGTATACAATAGTCTTTTCTCTCCTGAGAGCCTTAAAGGCACATATCAGTGAAAAGGATGACACGAGGTGCATCAGAAAGTGCATCAAATCCTCATCCTGTTGAAGGTACGCATTAGATTTATCTAATATGCCAAAGTCTAATATAACAAAGAAATTATCAAAGATATTTGGGGTTGTTATGTCCTGCATACTCCAGCTCAATGTAGAATTAAGCATCTGGATGGACACTTTTGTCTTCATTTGCTTGCTGCAAAACTTCAATTTGCAGGCAAAAAGCTTGTTAGGCCCCCAGGCGCGGTGAGTTTTACTTGTATTGGTTTAGGACCTGATAAAAGATCCACGAAATTATTTTTTGGAAGTTGTTTGTGAACGCTAAGTTTTGAGAAGCAAAAATGGGTTTGTGGCCATAAGTCAGGCACTGCAAGGAAGCCTCCCCTGTTATTCAAACTCATCTCAATTATGACTCTACTGCACTGGGACATTTGTAAAACTTATTCTCAGTGTAGTTTGTGAACAGTCACTGTGAAAGTCTGTTGTGAATGATTTTAAACAAGCAGTAGGACAGCTGTGTAAAAATGAGCTAATACCACATTGAAACAAAAAGCAGGAAGAATAGGCAGAAATAGAATGGAAAGCACCTCCCTGTGCCGGGTAATTAAAGCATGAACAAGATCAAATGAGATAATCACTTACTTTTTCTTATTTTGAATGCAAGATGCATGGCAGGAGGTGCAGTGGGGAGGCAGTTCATTCCTGGTGCAGAAGGCACTGTCTTTGAACAAGCCATGCTTGCCTGAATGGTCTGAATGCTGCACGTGCTGAAGCCTTTGCCCAAAGCCTCCTTTGGACCCATCTGGTGGGTGGCAGTGGGATGCCTCTGTACGGGGCTGCTCCTCTGCACCTCGAGCACATTTCTTGTCCTGGAATGGAGCAACACCTCCAAAAAGTGGGCAGAGCTGACCTTGTACTGCAGACAATAAAGGGCTCTGTACTGATGGGTCTTTTCTAGTTTTATCTAATGGAGGGCCACGAGCTTTCAGTGTCTGGCTGTGGTGGGGACACTTAAATATGGACTAAGCTTCTTAAAAAGAGCTGATACTAGAAGAGATTTAGGTAGTGACCGGTTTCTCCCTCTTGTTGCTGTCTGCTTTAGTCCTTTACCTTGGCCAAGGGTCACAGACGCTCTGTTTACACTCTGCTTTGTGTTCCTCTTTTCTCCAATGCTTTTGTCAAGCTTGGGAAGAGAAGGAAGACCTGAACCTGCAAGAGCTGCTTGATGGAGGGCAGAGGGAAAATCTGTGTAAGACTATTGTTTCAGGCTGCCTTCCACAGGTGTTCTGTTGGCTGGCTTGGAGGCATTGTTCTTGACTGTCCTGTCCACAAAGTGCTGGGAAACTCCTGCTAAATGGTGAGTTTTTCTCCAAGGAAGGCACTAAAATTCCCATAAAGCACTAAATTCCCTTCTAGGGGATTTGGGAAAACTTTTCAAGCTCAGGTGCTTAAAACAGTAGTTAGCTAAGGTTGCTCCTGTGGGTAGAGTTGTTCTTACACCCAGTGAAGAACAGGAGGAACTGTTGATACTTAGTTTCCTCTACAAAAGGAGGAGAAGAAAATATATTCTACAGCCACATTCAGAGCAAGCTGACCTATCAGTGGCTCCAGGATGGTGAGCATTGGAAGATGTCCTGGCTTCTTTTCACAGAGGGCCCTATGCTTACAGCCCGCTGCTGCCAAAGCCTTGATGTCTGCAGCCAGACACCTCGACTGTCTCAAGGTTTGCTGCCTGGCTGTCAGCAGAGGGCACTCAGTCTCTGGTTGAGCAACGGGGAGAAAGCTGTAGCAAAGCACAGATCTCAGGAACGAGCAGCTGGCCTTCCCACTTCAGCCTTTGGTAGACACGCGGTTTGAAAAGCTGTTAGTGAGGTGTTGTAATGGTTGGTAGCAGAAACGAGTGGTGTGAACGCAGTGGGAAACAATGTGTGCAAGCGCTGCTGAACGAAAGGTTAAAATGACCTGTATTGGTGACAGACTGTCCTCAGCAATGAGAACTGAGAGCACAGCACTCTGGAAGGCCAGTCTGAATGAAGGAAACGGGACAAGCAAGTGTTGTTCATTACATTCTGTCTGGAGTCAATGGAGTGCCCCTCAGAAAAGAAATCTCCCCCATCTTTTCCTGTACATCTCACATTCTGCTGCACAGGAGTTGCTTCTTTCCCATGTGTGTTTGTAGCAGAACACGATGCCCTGCAGCCATGGGAACTCCTTTCCCTGCGGGGCAGACAGAAGGAGAAGCTGGGCTCCTGCTGCTGGCTGTGACAACTGAGAGACATGGCATCTTCCAAACAGCAGCAGCTGAGGGTGCTGCATTCTTCTCTGGTCCTGTCCTAGCTTGAAACTGGTTATATACCATCAAGTTCCCCTCCTTTGGTTGAGAGAGACTGGTAGATAGCACTGTGCTCTCTCATCTTTGAAGTGACCAAGCACTGAAGGTAGTTTTTGCTATCTTGCATTGTGAAGGTAGAAATTTTGTTTTATATTTTTTCCCAGCTTAATTGCTGCCTGACAAGCTGCTAAGTGATGACACTTTCTCGTGCCTTAGGATGTTCAGCCCAACGAGAAGCAGCTTCTTTTGCTGCAGCTTGGAAGGAACTTCTTACCTGCTTTCTGAAACTTGGCAGCCCCTTGCTTTCTGTCCTGGTGTTTCAGAGTGATTACTGGAATACGTTCAAAGACCCTTGGCTGAAGAAGGGATTTTTGTTCCTGCCAAGCCTTTTTTTTCCTTAGCTCCCAGACAGCACC